TCAAGGCTGAATACGCCCAGCTGTATGAAGATATGCAGACGGCCTTCCGCAACTTGGAGGACTAACTCCACATCACGAGTAGCTCATCACAGAAATATCAGACATGTTCTACATAACTACATACCTGTAGCTAGATTTCAACCGTAAAGTATATAATAGGTGGATGTGCACTCCTTGTAAAGTACATGTATACTGTCCGTGAATAGTTTCATCAGGTTGGTAAGACACTGAGTAAAGAGACACAACCAACTCTTTTATTCAGCCGATGTTTTGGTGACCGTCTGTCACCTTCCTCAGGGCAATTCTGACTGGTTCACATTGCACTGCAGCATTGAGAATTCATCTGTAGCAGCGACACCTGTGCTGCAGTGCAATGTGAACCAGTCAGAATTGCAATGAGGAAGGTGACAGACAGTCACTGAAACGTTGGCTAAATAGAAGACTTGGTTGTGTAAAAAGAGTGTCTTTACCCTACATGTATACTGTGTTATGTGGTAGTCCATGTGGCAATAGTTTATCTGTTGGTGGAGTCATTGTGAGATCTATTGTCAGTACATTCCTTAAACGTAGATATCATGGAGAAGATATAAATTATTATGTAGAAGATTGAGACTGTATTTAATGCTGACATTTACTGGGAGGAAATGTTTTGATGCAGTAGGAGACAGAGCAGCATTATTTAGTGTGTAAAGGGTAGTGACCAAATACTGAATGGCAGATACATGAGGGCCTGCATGGCAGGGAAGTGATATGAATTACGCAAAATTTTCACCGCCGATTACGAATTACCTTAAATTCTCACAGTTGATTACGAACAATTACACCTTACGGCTAATGACTGATTACGAATTACGTTGATTTTTGGGGAGGCTGCCTACGGATTACAAAGACTAAAAAGGCCTGAATACGCCTTACAAAAAGAGCATGCGGGCCCTCATACATGTATCTAGATGCATATGTAGGTAGGCACAAAGATCTATCTAGATGCACAAACTAAAGTCAGAAGTGTACATGAAGAAGTATGTCTCTATAGAGGTATCAAAAGTTTTGTCCATGTTTTTTATTTCTACATATTGTCACCACTGTTCAAACTTCGAAAAAATTTTTATTGTGCTTCATGTAATGTTATGTGAACCCAATCATACGAATGTAATTCTTGATATGATGACCTTTTGGATGTAACAAGTCAACAAGTATTAGAAATGATAATTATTCATATTGCTGCACATTGTTAACTTAAATAAACTGCTGGTAATCTGACAAGTTATGAAGACTCTTTATTGTTAAGCATCAGCAATACCTACAATGTACGGCCACACCAATTTGATTTCTTGGTTAACGGATTTTTGAAGAAGAATAATGGAGCGGGCGGGCGAAAAAAAAACATAATTAGCCAGATAAGGTAGCCGGCCATATAGAGTCCGGCGGCTTGTAGTACAGACTTCCAACCGCGTGTGCGGCGAGGCGGCAAGTTTGAATGCTGCAACCTCACTTTATCCTCAGTCCTGTGCCAAGGTCAATGTTACCCTAACATGTTACCCTAAGCTCTCGGCCGGGAGTTAATGACACCCCCCCCCTCAAAAAGGGGGGGGGGTGACAACCTTTGGGACGGGTGGCCGCTAGTCTCCACCAGATCTAGAGACTAGACTCTTTTGCAAGCTGAATGATAGTAGAAATCGGCCTAAAAAGAAGGTAGCTGGCCAGGGGAGTTGGCCGGCCATAGAGGGTCCAGTTTGCCGTGCACCGGCGATTTCTACTACTTCTTCAGCCTGCAAAGGAGTCTGGTGGAGACTAGGCGGCCGCCAGGAGCGCGGTTTTAGTCAGGCTACCCGTACACTTGTCGGGTCAGGACTCATTACTGATTAACAGTTAATAGGGCCTTCATCGAATGAAAATTCGTAAAAAAAAGCGAACTACTTTTTCAGTTTTTCCTATTCATCTCACATCCCCCCTTTTTCAGTTCTTCCCATTCAGCCGAGTCCAATGATTTGTACTTGCAAACCGGCCAGACAATTGATTACAAACCGATGGCGCTCACACACTACGTTTTTGCCGTAAGCTTAATACTTTACATTTATTGTCGATTCAAAGAAGCGTTGCCTATTTATTGTATCCAGAACCGTATCTAGTCCTGAATCAGCTAGGTAGTAGGACTCAAAAGTCTCCGCGTATTCAAGAAGAAGAACGTAGATTACTGTAGTAATTAAACATAACAGTGAAGTCATAAATCAAAATACAAGGTCTGTCAGAGGTGAGATGTTATAGTGATGTACATAGACAGTACACACTATCTACCCATCGGAGCAGACCTGTCCCTGGTGCTGAACACTTTATTCTTGAACATCAACAATGTCTACAATGTGATGGTGAATCAGACAGTGTATTGTGATGTCCCATCATAATGGTGATGCCCATTTAATATTTAAGGATTAATGTCCCGCCCCGAGGTGAATATGGTGTGATAAAGCCTTGTCAGTTGCTATAACCACCGAATAAAGCCACCAAGTGAGCGCAGGTTCTTATGGGAGTCACCCGAGGTCATCGGAACACAACAAATAAGTTATTTTTGGATTTTTTAGAAGTAGAGCCCTGTTCTATTGGGTCACCTGAGGTCATATGCGAGTGATTATTCATTTTGTTTAATGTATGGATTGGGATGAATGAATACCCGATTTTGACTCTATTTGCGACATTACCGCGACATAAAGAATGTGGAATGGAGCCTTCTGATTGGTCAACATCACCGCCTATATGATAAATAGCTATAGCACTACTCATTACTACTGATTTGATGAGGCTGAAAATTGATTAATTGATTGATTGATTAATTAATTAATTGGAAAAATAGCTAGATGTTCAGTTTGAAAAATGCAGAATGAGAATATAAGGCAAATTATTTTGCAGAAAGATGAAAAGTATTAATGTTAATGTGAATAAAATCTGTACAATGCAAACATAAAGATTTGCACTGAGTATAAAAAACGTAAGATATCAAGAATTTGCGCATATATGAATTACTGGTATGTTTTACACACATTAACGTTAGCCTCCTTCAAACATCAGACATGTTGTGCGCCGTATACTACTAATATGACGTCACCATTAATACCTGTTTTGAAAAAGTGAGAGGTGGACACGGAAGTCTAGTTTTACCCCCGATATCGTGCCTATCGTTGCGAATTCACAACGTCACATCAGATCATCTGTCCAAATGTTTACCTGAACGTTGGAACGAAATTTGCACAATAGAGATAACGTCATTTATTGGCGAATGTTTGCGTCGGACACGTCACACCAAGATGGCGGAAGTTGAGGAACAGGAGCTAGAGTCGGAAGACTGGTAAGTTATAAAGACGGACTCTCTTGGTTCTGACTTCTTGTAGCTCGCTCAAGGTGTACTGTTTGGGGGATTCTTAAACGCTCCGTCGCACTTAAAGATGCCGTTTGACGTTGGCAACATTAAGAAGGTCCTTACGTCGTGACGGTAGTGAAAAACAAGCCTGGTTGCTGTGCCCCCCTCCCCCCGCCCCTTGGATAGTAGCTAGTACGACAGCTGTAGGGATATTTGTACACTAACTTTGGGTAAACACGATAAACAAGGAGCGACTGGGTCGTCTCGTGGTCGTACTGACAAACGTCAGGCACACGTGGTCGTGACATATCAATTAACCAACCAACCAATCAATCAATAAAATGGTTAATTTGTGAAAACAAACAAGAACTTGTAGCCATTGGCTAAATTATGCCCTGTACAATTTAAATTCTTAACATTTGGAAGGAACAAATTGACATTAATAAAACAATTCGATAAAACCCACATCATTATACACACAAATTACCTAGAAACAACAAAGTTTGACGTTAGAACAATCTATCAAATACTCATAAAACTTAAGTAATATCATACATGAACATTGTTATTATAACAATATGCATGATCACTGACTGTTAACACAACTTGATCTTGTAAATACAAAAGCATATATACTATAGATTATGTTGTTTGCAATATCTATGATATGTTTGACTTAATTATGTGTTATTACTAATATCAGTTTGACATTTCTAACCTATGAAATTTGGTTACCTGTTTACGAGAGGAATACTTTATATTCTTGCAGTGCCTGGATCAGGTGCCCATTGTGGAATCGAAATGAAAATGTAACTTATTAAGTGTCTGTGTCACATTTGTCGGCCATAAATTATGTGCATGACATGAACTGGATATAGTAGACACAGCAAGAATGTCCCTACCAAGGACTGAGGTTGTCACTTGTTACTCAATATGACATTTGTAAATTTTGTATGTACAATATATGTAATAAGAGACTCATGTAGCATGTCAGCAGAATTTACTTAATGCCTGGGCGAAACTGGATTGTATTGTGGATAGCACTTCAGCAGAACATCTCACATATTCATGACTATGAGATTACATCTCGTCTATACGTCTATAGTTTTCAAATGTTGTGCCAGGAAAGATATCATCTGCAACAGGCAAATTTCTGATGCTACGTTGACCAAACATTCAACAAATAAAAACGTGAAACATCCAGGTTACACACAGACGCAATATGTTCTGTTGTCTTGCTACCTTTTTCTTTTTTCACCATGTCTTTTAGCGCACCGTTGTCTAGTGATGCATACCTAAACCCAATTTTAGGTTCAGGTCCGGATTCAAGTCCAGAGATTTAGGTTCAGTTCCGGACTTGTAAGTCCGGACCTAAACCCATGGCATATACAAAATTGCATGTTGGCAACCTTGCAATGTTGTCTGGGTGAAACTTTGGTCACATAACATGGAGGCCAGTACTTGACGATGCCCGATGGCAATGTTTTCTTTGTTTTGCAGCAAAGATTTTACAATCTACGGAAGGTTTTAGGTGGTTTGGAAAGAAAAGGGGTATGTAAAATGGTCTTTTATGGTAATAAGTCCGGAGTCGGTTCTTGACTTTTAGGTTTTTTTGGACTTGAACCTAAACATAATCTTACAAGTCCGGATCCAAGTCCAGTGAACCGGTATGCATCACTACCCCTGTCCCCACTGTGTTTTTCCCAGGCAGGTGGAGTTGGAGACAGCTGTGTTAAAAAGCAGCTGTGACATCGCCATTATCAGGAACATCTGTACAGGCGCAGTTTGTTCTGCTGACATGCTGCCTTCTGTTATTTTTTCTACGATAGTTACCTGTATTACACCATGTTCATGCACCTCTCGGTTTGCTCCCCAGGCAGGTGGAGTTGGAGACAGCTGTGTTAGAGGGCAGCTGTGACATCAGGAACATCTGCACAGATGCTGACATCTGCTGACGTACTGCCTTCTGTTATTTTTTCTACGATAGTTAGCTATATTACACCATGTTCACGCACCTCTCGGTTTGCTCCCCAGGCAGGTGGAGTTGGAGACAGCTGTGTTAGAAGGCAGCTGTGACATCGGCATCATCAGAAACATCTGCAAAGGGAGGCAGGTTCCCGAGGAACTCAGACCCGCGGTGTGGAAGGTGAGAGCATGGAACTGTTTGTCACTGCTATAAACTGTTTATGTCAGGCTCAGGCTTGGGTTTGACACCAAAACTGATAGCTTAGTGACAGGAGTGTACAGTAACAGTCCGCTGCCTTTGTCAGAAGAAGATCTAGACGTAAGTAAATATTTAACTAAACTGTTTGTCACTACTGTATATGTCAGGCTCTGTGATACTGATAGCTACAATACACTCACTCACTCACTGCACGGCTTAGCGTCCGTTGTTCCCTGTCATGCAAGGGTTGGACGTCTTGGGGTGTACAGTAACAAGCTTTGTATTGCCTTTGTCAGAAAAATAAGATAATGTTTAGCTAGAAAATGGGTAAACATTCTGTTGACACTAGTACAAATCTACAGGTGTCGTATACATGTATGTTTTTTCTTCACATGGTTGCATATGATACAGTATGACAGCCATGAACACTAAGTCTTGGTCTATGTTACAAGTAGTGCTGCATACCGGTTCACTGGACTTGGATCCGGACTTGTAGGAATGTTTAGGTTCAAGTCCAAAAAAACCTAAAAGTCAAGAACCGAGTCCGGACTTATTACCATAAAAGACCATTTCACATACCCCTTTTCTTTCCAAACCACCTAAAAGTAAAACCTTCCGTAGATTGCAAAATCTTTGCTGCAAAATGAAGAAAAGATTGCCATCGGGCATCGTCAAGTGTCAGCCTCCATGTTATGTGGCCAAAGTTTCACCCAGACAACATTGCAAGGTTGCCAACATGCAATTTTGTATATGCCATGGGCTTAGGTCTGGACTTAGAAGTCCAGAACTGAACCTAAACCTCTGGACTTGAATCCGGACTTGAACCTAAAATTGAGTTTAGGTATGCATCACTAGTTACAAGCACTTCCCCCATTATCATGCATGGTATAGGGTGTGCCGTAGGATGTTATGATATGCAACATACATATGCAGACCACAAGGGAAGATTTGCCTATTCTGTAACATGCCTAGTGTTTCCTCTTAATTAGATTATTCAGGTTCTTCGGAGGGAACGGATCTCACAGGACTCAAACGTACCGGTAGTTAGGAAGATTAAATCAATACCTGCACGGAGTCACCTCGTCTGTACAGAAAACCTTGAGGGAGTTAACATTAACAACCTTGTCTGAAATTTCTATGATGGATCACGTTTGGCAATTCATTCATCATAGTCTGCCAAGCTGGTTGCAACTGGTGGGATAATATTATTAATCTGAATACCAATATCACTTATTTTAATTTAAAAAAAGGCTCCTGGAACTTTAAGATAAAACATGTTTAAAACAACTTTAAATCAGCATCCTCGCTGCGTAGTGCACACCTTTAATTGTTGTGTCACAATGTTGAAGAAATAAATGAATAGAAATATGTTGAACAGTTTGCCCTGTTAATTGGTACTTGTAGTTGCAACTGGTAGGATGATATTCTAAGAGTAAGACCTACTGAGATTCCAATCTCAGTAGGTCTTATTTTTGTCTAAGAAGACTCCTGGAAGGCTGGAATTTTAAGTTTTAACATGTTGAACATTCAGATGTATCGACTGGCATGTCACAATGAAGTGCATGAAATATGTTGAGTATTATTACAAATAGATAGTTAGCATAAAATCCTACATATATGATTATATCTGCATAGTTAGATACAGTACAAAAACTTATCACATCAATGAATACAACAGCTAAAACATTCTAAAATCGGCGTCGGATGTTGTAGTGGTTAGAGCGTTCGACTATGAACCGGGAGACCCGGGTTCGATTCCGAGTCGTACCCGGGACATGTCTGGACATGCGCCCCGACGTTGTGCCCTTGGGAAAGGCACTTTACACAAATTTCCTCACTCCACCCAGGTGTGAATGGGTACCTAACTTCGGTTGGGGAAAGTCGTATTGAGGTCACCTTGTGGCGCCGAATGGCTGCCGTATAGACCCTTGCGACAGTTCCACGAAAAAATTGTGGAACAAATATGTGTATCCTGTGTATTATTTGAATGTTGTAATTGTTGTGATTTGTATTGATTATTATGTAATACCTTGCATCAATTCAGCCGTATACTGTTTGGACAATAAAAACCATTTATTATTGTTATTATTTTCCCATCAGATCTGCCTGAATGTTGCTGGGAAGGGAGACTCCATGGAATCCTGGGACGGCGTGTTCGACCTGCCCCAACAGGAGGTTCTCAGGCAGGACTGCCTCAGTCTGCTCGGTAAGACAGTATTTATAGTGTATCTTAATCATTGCAAATAAATAATGATAATGCGGGTTTTATTTGAAACACCTCACAGCCCGAAGGCTGAATTACATGTCCCGTACATTGTATAAAAACATATTGTGGCAATAAAATCATTACATTTTTACAATGCAACACTAAAAGTTAAAATACCAACCTCATTGAAAGTACTAGATTAAAATCAAATATATAACGGCATGTACATTACAGGATTACATTACAGAGTGCTGTTTAAAAGCTGGACGAGGTAAGGCAACGGGCTTTTCGCATATCTTGCTGTGCGTGCTGGCAATTGGTCTAGTTTTTTGTTCTGTCTTGTTTCCCTCCCACTGATCTCTCCCCGAAGTCGAGGAAACCAATGTCTGTACTGTTCAGACTTGTACAGCTTCTGGGCAAACTTCAGGCACAGAGAGACACGTCGGTCTTCGAGTTTCTGGAGTTGTAGTGCTTCACATGCTGCAGAGTAACTGTGAAAGGTGTTGCCGAGGATGATCTTAGTTGCCCGCACTTGGATGTTCTCTATCTTCCTCCGTTGACTGGACGTTAAGCCTGGGTGCCACAGGGGTGTTGCATACTCCAGGACCGGCCTTACGAAACTTGTGTAAACAGTAACCAAGTCGTGTGTTGGTAGGTGAAACTGCCTCAGCCTACATAGGAGATACAGCCTTTGGTTCCCCTTTTTACACATTTCCAGGACGTGCATGTCCCACTTCAGATCTGACTGAAAGGTTACTCCTAAGCACTTGGCGATACTGACAACTTCAAGTTCATGGCCGCCAATGGTGAGAACAGGAGGAGGAGGAGGAATCCGGACAAAGCAGACTTGCATTGCCTTACACTTTCCCGGGTTCAGTTTCATTCTGTTGGTTTCTGTCCACGTAGAGAGGTTGTCAAGATCGCCCTGTAGTGTAGGTGGATGTGCAGCAAGTCTTGTTTCGATCAGGTTCAGATCATCCATAAAGAACTTTGATATTCAATCAATCACCAACCTGATGAAAGTATTCACTGAGGTATTCATTCACTTGATGTTGCATCACTCCAAGTAAGTTAGTGATATGGGACGAATTGGTTGTCCCACGTGTGGCCTTTCGTTGGAATGATACCTCTTATCCTTTATTTGCTATCTTAGGTATCCCTGATAATTAACTAAAACAACGTCTGTATTAAATAGAGAAGTATGAGGACCTGGCGGAGGACCAGCTGGCCATCCTGAGCGACATGGAGTCCGTTCTGACGTTCTACGCCAAATCTCGCAGTCTTCAGTACGCCTCCGGGAACGGCTGGGTCGACGTTCTCGCGCCTCTCATCCCCCTCCGGCTGCCCAGACAGGACCTGTACAACTGCTTCTACGCCATCATGACCAAATACATCCCGAGGTAAGCACTAACTAGCTAATTAACTAACTAATTAACTAGTTAACTATTTAATTAACTAATTAACTAGCTAATTAACTTCCCAGACAGGACCTCTACAACTGCTTCTACACCATCATGACCAAATATATCCCAAGGTAAGCTCTAACTAACTAATTAACTAACTAGTTAACTAACTAGCTAACTAATTAACTAGCTAATTAACTTCTCAGAAAGGACCTGTACAACTGCTTCTACGCCATCATGACCAAATACATCCCGAGGTAAGCACTAAATTATTAATTAACTAACTAATTAACTAGTTAACTAACTAATTAACTTCCCAGACAGGACCTCTACAACTGCTTCTACGCCATCATGACCAAATACATTCCGAGGTAAGCACTAACTAGCTAATTAACTAACTAATTAACTAGTTAAGTAACTTGTTAACTAACTAATTAACTTCCCAGACAGGACCTCTACAACTGCTTCTACGCCATCATGACCAAATACATTCCGAGGTAAGCACTTACTAGCTAATTAACTAACTAATTAACTAGTTAAGTAACTTGTTAACTAACTAATTAACTTCCCAGACAGGACCTGTACAACTGCTTCTACGCCATCATGACCAAATATATCCCAAGGTAAGCTCTAACTAGCTAATTAACTAACTAGTTAACTAACTAGTTACTTGACTTGACTTATGTTAACTAACTAATTAACTTCCCAGACAGGACCTCTACAACTGCTTCTACGCCATCATGACCAAATATATCCCAAGGTAAATAACTTGAACTAGCTAAGTTATGAAGAAAGTACATCAGTAACCATGTCCTGGCATGATTTCTAACCTGCAAGCTTTCATAAATGGTGTCGCACAGCTTTCCACAGTCTGATTAAATACATACTCAGTCATTACTGAGACAGAGAGGAGAGGTACATTGTATGTAGCATCAGCAAAATCCCTTTGGAAACATAATAGTTTATCCAAAAATAATTTCATCAGGTTGGTAGTACATGGCATATAGGGATTTTTCTTCTTACATGACCTGTACCGTATCTCACTTGCTGATGTTTCTATGTCTATCAGGCAATGTTCATGCCTTGTACAGGTCATTCATTCTCCTGTTTCTAACAAAACACAGACCCTGGTATTTAGCAAGTTTACTTATTTTTTTGTAAATCTTGCATTGTGAAATCTTGTTGTTTAGTGTTGGGAGAAAATGGCAGTAGGGTATGTTTTCCCTTCTGAAATAAAATTAACAAACAAACAAATAAGAAGTTAACCACTGCTCCTTTATTTTCCAGGGACTGTAAAGTCGACGGGAAGCCATTCCACCTGTTCCGCCTCCTGCTGCTGTACCAGGATCCTGAACTCTGCAACTTCCTCGACACCAAGAGGATATCAGCAGATACGTACGCGCTTATGTGGGTAAGGATATCAGCAGATACGTACGCGCTTATGTGGGTAAGGATATCAGCAGATACGTACGCACTTATGTGGGTAAGGATATCAGCAGATACGTATGCGCTTATGTGGGTAAGGATTCAGCAGATACGTACGCGCTTATGTGGGTAAGGATATCAGTATATACGTGCGCACTTATGTGGGTAAGGATATCAGCAGATACGTACGCGCTTATGTGGATAAGGATATCAGCAGATACGTACGCGCTTATGTGGATAAGGATATCAGCAGATACGTACGCGCTTATGTGGGTAAGGATTCAGCAGATACGTACGCGCTTATGTGGGTAAGGATATCAGCAGATACGTACGCGCTTATGTGGGTAAGGATATCAGCAGATACGTACGTGCTTATGTGGGTAAGGATATCAGCAGATACGTACGCGCTTATGTGGGTAAGGTCTTCATTCTCTATCATCATTCTTTGGACAGATCTGCAAAAAAACACTGATGTGTTGTCAGTTAAAACCATTTGAATCCCAAATTTCAAGTCAATCCATTGATCTAAAGTGACATGAATCCAAGTTGAAAAGTCCTGAAAGTTCTCTATTAACAGACGCCATTTGGGATCTCATAATTATTAGACAGAGATCATGATTGGAGTTTCTGTTCTAACAGATAAAATGGTCTTCCCCTATGAAAAACTTAAACTTTTCTCCAACTCAAAATTTGACTCACCAGAAATTTTCCACTGAATCACTCAGTCTTCCTCAGCTATCTGACCCAAATGCTGTGGACACGTGATTCAGTCGAAAATATCTGGTGAGTCAAATTTTGAGTTGGAGAAAAGTTTAAGTTTTTCATAATGTAATTTACCAACTCAGATGAACTTTCATGCTGGTCTTCCCCTGTTCCTTCCCCTGCAGATCCAGAGCCTGTTTGCGAGTCCGTGTGAGCTGAGTGTTGTGCAGCCCATGTGGGACCTGTACTTACAGCAGGCTGACCCTTTCTTCCTCTTCTTCCTCGCACTGGTCATACTGGTCAACGCCAAGTAAGTACAGTTCAAGTTTGGGCATGTACCAGACAAGCCATTTGACATATTTGTATATCATGAGCTAACTCATACCTTTTAACCGTTCTTCTAGTCGTAATTTTTTAACACTTTGTAGGTAATAGTATGTGCAATTATTGTGTTCCCTGTATTCTTCCTAATGTTTCTGTATTTTAACTTCATTATGTGCAATGGTATAAACTTTTAGGTTTTTGAAATGAAATGTACATTCAATTTGATTCGCAATTCAGTAGCTTGTACTTAAAGTTTACTGCGTATGATCAATAAGTAATTCTTGAGTCTGAGTCTTGAGTAAGTACAGTTTGAAACTGGAAAGGTAACTTTTGCCAAACACTGCATAATGTTTACCTAATCACATGGTCCAGCCAAACAAACTACTGCTCTCATTAACATGACAGTTCATCTGTGTTGGTACATGTAGTTGCATGTTAAGAGTTAAAACTTTAGATCCAACACAAAAAGTTCTCTCACCTAGAGCTTTCGACCAGTCACTCTGGTCTTCCTCAGTAGACTGACCCAGTGAGGCTTGTCACGTGGCTTCTTTAAAGTGTGACATCAACTGCTCGCTTCATCATGGAAGTTCATCTGTGTTGACAACACTACAGCTCTGTTTATTCTTACTCAAATACATTCATATATATACATATATTATATAGTGACATTCATTTATATAGTGACCAGCCCCTTCAACTCGCTACATAATGTAACCCAACACCACAGGGTGTCCGCTACAGCACCAGTTACCATGGTGACACTTCACACTGACAATGTCCAAATCTATCCAGCCAAAGCATTTTCCATTGGTAGCTACTCTAATGTTTTAAAGCCTTCTGAATAAATGATGTCATTTATGAAGCAACTTTACTTCTTAACTCAATTTTTAATCGGGCTGGACCCTAATTTCAGTACTATTGATTGTTTATTGTGTCAAATCGAATTCTTACAACTGTACATATCCTTAGCGCTCGTACCAGACTAACTTTTAAAACTTCAAAGACTTTCAGTCATTTTAATGTAGAACGACAGTAGTGATCTTACTCGTGAGAAATTATATTGGTTTACTTATATTGCTATGATAATATGACGACGACGATAGTTTTTATAAATTTAGTATATTACAAGTGTAAGTTGCCCTCTTATATCTACTAGTATTGTATAATCCTATAAGTTGTAAATATCAGCACAATTCAGTTTTTACTGCAAGTCTGATATGTTCTTTGTTCTTTTCAATAAACCAATCACTAGTACTTTTCACTTGCAGAGAGCAGATTCTTCCCATGGAAAATGAAGATAAGCAGGTTATTGTAGGTACGTGTACTGATTCATCCATGCTCTTAATACTTTATTTGGGCAAAATATCTCAATGCTAAAGAAAAGTTTCTCTTAGCTTTGTATGCAAAATTATATTTGTAACTGGTATATTTTGCGTGCAAGGCTGAAAGAAACCTTTTTTTAACAAAGTTGTAGCCGTTAAATGTAAAACGTGTCAATACATGAGTTGTAGTTGTTACTATAATAAGTGTCTTGTGTGCTACTATTATATATGATATGGAGTTATATACATTTTCCAACACTGTGTGCTAACCAAGCTATTAAACATGAAACTGGAGATATGTGATATCTGTGCTATATTGATTAATCTTGACTGTGCTTTTTGTGGATACCCTAAAAGGCATTTCTAACATACTGGAAGGCACTAAAAAAAAATTCTGAGCTACATTGATTAATTTTGTGTTTTCTGCAGACACCCTAAAAGTGTTTCCAGCCCAACTGGAGGCGGAAGACATTGAGGATTTCTGTGCGCTGGCTCTCTACTACTCCTCAAGAACCCCACAGTCTTTCAGAAAGGTGAGACATTCTTGTAATCAAGACACTTGTACTTGTGGGGTACATTTTCTTGAGACTAAGGTCAAAACAGGCACACCAAGTGGAGTAAGGATTAATGACCAGGATGAGAGGTCAAAAACAGATACTGTTCTATCAATCAATCAATCAATCAATCAATCAATCAATCAACCAACCAATCAATCAGTCAGTCAGTCAATCTATCTATCTATCTATCTATCTATCTATCTATGTGGGGTCGTGTGGCGCAACGGCAGCGTGCGCGACTCGGAATCAAGAGGTCCCGGGTTCGAGTCCTGACACGCCACCGATCTTGTGCCCTTGGGAAAGGCACTTTACACGACTTTCCCCACTAGACTCAAGTGAAAATGAGTATTGTCTGTCCAGTATTCGTTTCTATGTGTGGGACACAACACCAGCAACAGCTGCCTTAGCTCCGCGTGTATTGCATTGTTGCAATTTCAATAAAAAATAGAATAGAATAGAATGGAATGGAATGGAATGGAATGGAATGGAATGGAATGAAATGAAATGAAATGAAATGAAATGAAATAAAATAAAAATCTATCTATCTATCAACCAATCAGTCAATCAATCAGACAGATGCTGTTCAATCTACCTACCTACCTACCTACCTACCTGTCTGTCTGTCAGACATGCTGTTCAATCTATCTATCTATCTATCTATCTATCTATCTATCTATCTATCAACCAATCAGTCAGTCAATCAGACAGATGCTGTTCTATCTGTCTATCTATCTATCTATGTCGTTACTTTGATTCAAAAGCATATTTGGCCATGTGGTTGATTTTCAGCAAGGTCGGGTGGATGAGTGGAGATTAAGTTTTCCAATTGACAGGTCCAAGAAAGATCTCCAAATGTTCCATTTCATCAAATATACTGCAGAATATTGCCACTAAGAAGAGTCTAACATTTTTTTCCCCAGGATTACCAGTACATGTTTGGAGGCAGCCTAACAGCCAGAGAGGACACCAGTGAAGAAGAAATGTTGTCTCAGGCCCTGTGTCTGCCTGTGTCGTTGTTTCTAACCTTGTTGTTGTTGTTGTTGTTCCAGGATTACCAGTACATGTTTGGAGGCAGCCTGACAGCCAGAGAGGACACTAGTGAAGAAGAAATGCTGTCCCAGGCCCTGTGCCTGCCTGTGTCAGTAGCTGAGCTCCTGCAGGCCACAGAGGAGACAAATGTAAGGCCGATTTCTGATTTTTTTTGGTCTCCACATACTAGAGACTAGTGATGCATACCTAAACCCAATTTTAGGTTCAGGTCCGGATTCAAGTCCAGAGGTTTAGGTTCAGTTCCGGACTTGTAAGTCCGGACCTAAACCCATGGCATATACAAAATTGCATGTTGGCAACCTTGCAATGTTGTCTGGGTGAAACTTTGGCCACATAACATGGAGGCCGACACTTAATGATGCCAGATGGCAATGTTTTCTTCATTTTGCAGCAAAGATTTTACAATCTACGGAGGGTTTTAGGTGGTATGGAAAGAAAGGGGGTATGTGAAATGGTCTTTTATGGTAATAAGTCCGGACTCAGTTCTTGACTTTAAGGTTTCTTTGGACTTGAACCTAAACATTCTTACAAGTCCGGATCCAAGTCCAGTGAACCGGTATGCATCACTACTAGAGACTGGGTGTCATCACAGCTTTGATCCATGGTAGCTAGTGACAATAGGGAGCCAGCGGTAACTACGGAGCACAGCACCCAGGCTGCAGAAGCTCCACAGACCTCCAGAACTCAGTACAGTGCTGACTCATAAATTCTGTGAAAAGCAATGGCCCAGCATGTGCCGGCTTGTCGTAAAAGTCGCTATGTACCACCGCAAATTCACGATACCAGCTTTGTATTCCTGTGGTTTAGCAGAATTTTTTTTATGTCATCCATAGAATTAGTTCAGTGTGGCCTAATCAAACCATTGTCTGTTTGGTATGCTTTTTTTCTCCAGGGCGACAGTGTACACTACTTTGTGGTGGACTGCAGGCCTGCCGACCAATACAACACAGGACATCTTTCCACTGCTTTCCATTTAGATGCCAATCTGGTACGTACGTACTGATGCTTTTCAAATTTAGGGTGAAATGTTCCAACCTTTTTTTGAACTGACAAAAATTTGTGTCGGCATACAGATTGAGATTTTTAAGTGTACTTTTTAATCTATTATGTGTATTGAAACATGCAATTCAGCCTATGGCTGCTATGTGTTTTAATGAATGGGCCTTTCTTTCTTTCTTCCTTAGATGTTGCAGGTTCCGACGGAGTTTGCCCTGGCTGTGCAAGCCTTGTTTTCCGCGCAGCGCACAGCAATCGCGGCCGGGTCGGTGGCGGGAGGGGAGCATCTGTGCTTCATGGGGAGCGGCAGGGACGAAGAGGACCAGTACGTGCACATGGTGGTCGCACACTTCCTACAGGTACGTGCACATGGTGGTCGCACACTTCCTACAGGTACGTGCACATGGTGGTCGCACACTTCCTGCAGGTATGTGCACATGGTGGTCGCAGACTTCCTACAGGTACGTGCACATGGTGGTCGCACACTTCCTACAGGTACGTGCACATGCTGGTCGCACACTTCCTACAGGTACGTGCACATGGTGGTCGCACACTTCCTACAGGTATGTGCACATGGTGGTCGCACACTTCCTACAGGTACGTGCACATGGTGGTCGCACACTTCCTACAGGTATGTGCACATGCTGGTCGCACACTTCCTACAGGTACGTGCACATGGTGGTCGCACACTTCCTACAGGTATGTGCACATGGTGGTCGCACACTTCCTACAGGTGTGAATTGGATTTTTATTATGCAACCGGCAGACATACTGGTATGAATTTTGTTGGTATTTACAAAGATTGACTCCATAGAATTAACACAAAAATTCACTTTATCATACAAGCATGCTCTCTCTCAGTTAAGCAAATCAAGGACATAACATCAGCAGAACGGATTTTACTGGATGCTACTTGTAAGAATGCCTTGCCATCTATTCTATTTATTATGATAGAATGATTTTTTCAGTCAACTTTAGGTGGCTCCTCTCTTTTTACAGAGACATACAGCCTTCATCAGCTTAGCCAGAGGAGGTTACCATGGCAAGTATCTTCTATGGTTGTTCTTTTTCATACTGTTTGTTGTTTGTACCAGATATGACTCTCCATTTGAGTCCGCAGTTTTTTCCACACATCCTTCTATGTGTGTTATAGTCATGCATGTACCTTTGTTTAAGGGAAGGTTTAATTTGGGTTTTCAGTTCTTCAGCTTATTCTAAAATCATAGGTACACTGTTTATCAGTGAGTGGGCATTTGTACATTGTACATTACTACAAAACTATAATCAAAGAACTCACATATCATAGACGAAGTGGGTAAATTTGTCTCCCAAACCCAACAAAATGTAGTACCATGTATGTTGTATATAGTCTGTCTTATCAGACAGTATCTTTTTTTTCATACATTTTGTTTGTATTTGCAATTAGCCCTCAGGCACATGCATGTATTTTCAATAAACTTTCATTGACTCCTAGTAAGTCTACATGTAAGAAAGCTCTGTCCAGGCTGTGTTAATCAGCTGCCAGTTCTGAGACTAGTGCTGCATACCTAAACCCAATTTTAGGTTCAGGTCCGGATTCAAGTCCAGAGGTTTAGGTTCAGTTCCGGACTTGTAAGTCCTGACCTAAACCCATGGCATATACAAAATTGCATGTTGGCAACCTTGCAATGTTGTCTGGGTGAAACTTTGGCCACATAACATGGAGGCCGATGGCAATGTTTTCTTCGTTTTGCAGCAAAGATTTTAGAATCTACGGAAGGTTTTAAGTGGTTTGGAAAGGAAAGGGGTCTGTGAAATGGTCTTTTATGGTAATAAATCCGAACTCGGTTCTTGACTTTAAGGTTTTTTTGGACTTGAACCTAAACATTCTTACAAGTCCGGATCCAAGTCCAGTGAACCGGTATGCATCACTATCTGAAAGTGTGGTTCTGTATTTCTGCAGCGCTCCACACAGAACTGGTGAAGAGAGAAGAGAAGGGAGACTCCAGCTTCTCAGTCAGGACCTGCATCGTATCCACAGCAGGGGAGGACGTCAACGGGGAACATGACGGGGTAAATATAGAACACAATATTCCGTATCGCCCGAGGTATCGGCCCGACCGCGCATCGGATGTCATACCCACCCAAGAAAACACGCCTTTCAATGCAAGATGAGCCAAAAGTTGGTGCCACTAAACCCTAAAATGCAACAACATCAATTCTAACGTCCGGATTCTGTATTGGAATTTTCAAAAGGGGCACACGTGGTTAGGGCAGTACGTGTTTGAATCGTTTTATGGAGGCCATGGAAGCGATCGATAACGGGTTCCGGACTGGGCCGTACTTAACGGTATCGAACGTTATCGAATGTTATCGCGGCCCGGGTATGATATAAGATATATTATCTATATCACTACCTGCCTGTGTAAGAAGGTACATTATAGCAATGTACTTTATTAAACAACCTTTGCGCTTTTACTTGATGGCGCTTTGTCCTCAGTGTATGCTTAACAGTGGTTGCAAGTATCGCAACAATTTGTAGAGAGGATTCTATGTATCAAATCACTTTGGTGATGTTAGTGTGAAACTGTTGTTGAAGTGATGTTCGGATGTCACCACCATGCATGTATCTGTGCCTTATATCAGTCAGACCAAGTCCCTGTCCTTGGTGCTGAAATCATTTCTAACACTGTCGTGACTAATGTACACCCACCTCATGTGTGTGTCTAATGAATGAACAACCGAGGTCTGGGAAGGTGGATATGTTATCTTCTACTTTCCTTATTATTGACCCAACATTAGTTACCATGGTGACAGACGTGTGGTTCAGGTCATTGACCTTATTTGTTTGAAGAAGAGGAAATGGAGCAAAACAATATGTTTTCGTTCGGTGAACATAACGATGGTTCTCTGTTTTGCAGAGACCCGGGGCTCAGGGAGCGTCTCTCATCAACAAACTGTCAAGCGCCGTGAGACACAAGTCCGACGCCATGAAGGAACAACTCTCCAAGATCAAGGACAAACTGGCCGAGGGGGCCGGGCCTGTGGAGAGGTGGGGGTTTGTTGTTATCATGAAAGTTCATCTGTGTTGGTAGTAACCATAGTAAATCAAAGGCACTCCAGCGATCACTAGATAGAGACGGTGGACGATATACCGTAAACTCCCTGGCACGTTTGATCAGTTGCTGACGTCACACATCCATAAAGTCTCGCGTGCATAAGGTCATGTGTCTCTAACCGTAAATCTCGCGAGTTCACGTTTGGAAGTGATTGGTCATTAACTATCCTGATGAAGGCGACAGTGGTCGTTGAAAATTTGATCTCTGTGTACGTTGGAATAAAGTTCAACATTTTACTATGGGTGTTTGTTGTTGCATTATCAGTAATACTAACCAGGGCAACACCCCTCTAAGTGTCTGTAGTAGACTAGTGCTAGCATTTGAGTAGCTCAGCATACTAAGGAAACATAAGACCAGACTTCCATCTCGTCATCAAACATACCAGACGAAAGGAGTAATTTTGAAATATTTGGCCAATTTCTACTCTTTCCAGCCACTTCTAAAGCCTGCTAGATGCTAGTTCCTTTCATTGTTTATTGTTTCAAAGACCTCCATTAGTGACAGTACACACTTTTTCCTACATGACTTCTGTCTAAACAAACTTCCCCCCCCCCTGTGTTTTGCAGACATGTGAGCAGCAGTGACAAACTGGGCAAGCCGTACCGCGGGGTCAAACCTGTCTTCAGTATCGGGGATGAAGAGGATGACCACGGTGGGTTCTCTGTCATCCTCTTCTCTCTCAGAGTCCACTGTTCTCCAGCTCAAAAACGAAAATTAATTCGCTAGGAATTTTCGACTGAATCACTCAGTCTTCATCAGCTTATGACCAAGTGCTGTGGACAGTTTAATTCTCTTCATAACCTGATGTCCTAGTGTGTTTTATTATACTGAGTCCACACCAATTTGATTTTTTGGTTAACGGATTCGCCTGCTTCATTTTTTTCTGATTTGCAAATAAAATAAAAATTCAGAATCAACAGTTACTGCAAAATGCTCATATTTTGCCCTGAACCGTTGAAAACAGTCCTTTTCATCCTAATTGTTACAGTTAGTCCAACTTTCAATGCAGTGGTATCATTAAAAGTTCAAAATTCATTGCTTAAATTTTAAAGCATCCTGGTGGGTTGACTTCATGGCTTCTATGGTACCATTTTGGGCCATAATAGGATGCCTAAGCCTGTTTTTTTTCCCCTCGCCCGCTCCTTTATTTTTCTGGAAAAATCTGTTAACCAAGAAATTAAATTGGTGTGGCCTGATGATGATGTTCTCCTGCCATCAGATGAGATGGACAGCTTCAGCGTGTCAGACGATGAACATGAGGTGGTGAACCTGGACACGTGGCTGAAGAAACCCGACGTCATTCAGCACTTCCCCTGTCAGGAGGTCAAGGAGTCAGGCCACCTGCTGCCAAGGTTTGATTGATTTGATTTATTGAAATTGTAACAGTACAAATTAAAGCTTTTCTGGATCATAAATCTATATACATGTATGATAACAGTTAAACTTTACGTGACCAACACCAAGTAAATTGGGACTTACCCCAAATTTTCGCCCGACTCCGTCAGCCTTGTTCACGGAATGGACCCTTCTACTGCAGCTTCCGGGACGTGACGTCGGAAACACGTGGGTCATACGTGGCAGGTAACCTATGGGGCAACCCTGTCTCTGGGGGCGTCATAGGTTATCTGCCACATATGACCCTCTGCTGCAACCACGTGTTTCCGACGTCACGTCCCGGAAACTGCAGTAGAAGGGTCCATTCCGTGAACAAGGCTGACGGAGTCAGTCGAAAATTTGGGGTAAGTCCCAATTTACTTGGTGTTGGTTACGTAAAGTTTAACTGTTACCATAATGTTATATACCAACACAGATGAACTTTCATGCTATATACATGTAATTTGGTTAACTTTCCATCAGCTAAAGATACCAGCTATGCCTTCTGTGCATCTGCTGTCCTCAAAATACAGAGACTGCCATATTATTTCTTAGATATATCAGATTAGTACTTGTCAAAAGAATTTGTTTTAACATACATTGTATTAAGAAACATTTTATACATAGGCCAGAGGTTTTTCTAGAAAAATTTAGCATGAGGGAGCAGATCGCAATCATGGCAAGGAACGAAGCAACCGAGGGGGGATTTTCTAATAAGGGCATCACAGTTTGTAATGCTAGAATGCATTGTTGTATTGTTTTTACATCTTTAAGTGTGTGAGTAGCCACATAGGGTTCAATTTGAAAATTGGTATGAGGGAGCTGACTGGTTACATGAGGGAACAGTGCCCTTATTCCCGTTTAGAAAAAACCCTGCATAGCCATAGAAGGTAAGCGAATTGTAGCTGTGAAGGTTGTTGACTTTTTTCTCTGTCACCTTCCAGCCACCTGCTGCTCACCAGCACTCACATGTATGTTTTGAGAGACAATCCAGACAGAAAAGGTGAGAAAATATCATTTTTGTACACCGCTGTCAGACTGTACAATGAGACTTTGTAATAATCTGTTATTTCGTGCCCCTTTCAAGTATAGAATCCAAATGAATGTGTTTTTTTCTTTCAGAATTGTTTCTAACTCGTTTAAATGTCGCAGCTACAAAATATATCTATTTTAAAGATTATGAATGATGAAAAATGTTTTTAAATGTACATTATTCTGTGAATTTTAGTATTTGGTCTTAAAATGTTGTAAGTAGTAATTTCAATTTAACGTATTTTTCTAAATGTAATAAGATATTAGCAATTGTAACGTGCGTGCGACTTGTGTACAAACCTCACAATTCAGCCGCGAGGCTGCGATGGGTTTTGGTTTTCAATAAACAATAAGGAGAACGTGGATTCTCAATGTTACCCCTTGAATTTTTCCCATATAGAAAGATTTCTGAGTAAGAAAGAAGTTTTGATAATGTTGAAGTTGAAAACCTTGGACATCTTATCTTGTGCAGGAAAATTTCAAGGCTTTGTGTAATATTTTGGTTTTAGGAGCCGACTTTACACTGTCAGATTTAGAATATAGACTGGTTTATTTCGAAAGGAACATGCATACAACATACATATAAGTTGCTAATTGCAGCCTGCAGGCTGAATTGGGCAGCTTTTACAATGGGATACACAGGTAGAATATATTTAACATGTACATAACTTAAACATAAGCATCAAATATTGCACTAGATTATTGCACTTTTATTGCACTTTTATGTTAAAATTACGGCGTTGCAAGATCAGTTACAAATTACATGATATAGCTAAAAACTATTACAACAAACATAAGATAAAACACTATTACAACATATACAGCTATTATAAAAAAATAATCTACTATAAGTTCAAGGTGTTCAATATGTGCAACATTGAGGGAACCGGGCTACGTAGATATCTTTGTGTCCCTTTGGGTGGTTGTAGCAATGTAGATTTAGAAGCAATGTACAAAATAGAATGCAGGGTAGGAATGTTCGTAAATTCACAACCAGTTTTTTAACAAGAGCAGCTGATGTTTCAATGACTGTCAGTATAATTTTTGTCAAACATGCATTTATAATGATCTTTATTTGCTTCTTGCCATCAATGTGCCATGGTTAAGTACAATGAAACACACACAAAATAATTAAATGAAGTGATTTCCAACAATCACGATTGAATAAAAAAACTAAACAAGTGGTTGTGGATAAAAAAACTTTGCTATTCAATCATTTACCAACTCATCAATGAAATTATTCACGGAAATGTACAAAATAGCCTCTAATGGACCTATACCATGATTACGTCACAGTTTGTTTACTGCAATGAATGCCGGTCAATCGATGTTTATATTGTACAGGGGTGCATAGCGCGGTGTGTGTTCCTGTAGCGTTAGCCTAATATAAGGCTTTTAATACAGTACTACTTTCGTCTAATGTCACAACTAGATCACCCATGCGGCATGTGATGCTGTGTCAACACAACTAGACGCAGCAAAAATCAGACATACCTTACTTTGAAAACTTTGAAATGATCTTTATTCTTTAACTGACCGTTCTAGAATGTTCTTTAGAACAGGTAAACAAACTGTGACGTAATAATGGTATAGGTCCATTGTGCCTTTGTTTTCACTACGATTCTTGCGTCGGCAGGAATGTCGTTTATCCAGTCGAGACACGCGCTGACGGAAGTTGTGAAGATCACGTCCAAGAAGAGACATCCTGACCTGATCACGTTTAAGTACGGCATCAGTGAGGAGGAGGGAGTTCAGGTCACAGGCATGGAGAGGTGAGGCTAGAAAAAATGTCCAGACTATACATTATGTACAAAATGACTAATAAACAGGTGGACGTTGCAACTAATAAGTACCTAATACCAGCCCAGGAGAAGAAATAGCCATGCCTTCAAGTACCAGAGTTATCAACCAAGGATTGAGGTGTTCAAGAATTCATTCTTTCCTAGAACTATCACAGAGTGGAACTTGTTTTCACCAAGTGCAGTAGGGGCATTGTCATTAGATAGCTTTAAACCATGTTTAGAGTTAGATGTTCAAGGGTTCGGTGTAATGCATCGATCGGTGCATGTAATGTAGCCAGCTGCTGTCGCACCATGTGCCTGTAAAGCTGGTGTGTTACGCCAAAGGCTGGTTATACCAGCTATACAGATACAGGAGCTGGTGTGTTACGCCGAAGGGCAGTTATACCGGCTATACAGGTACAGAAGCTGGTGTGTTATGCCGAAGGGCGGTTATACCGGCTATACAGATACAGATACAGGTACAGAATAAGGACCTCTCCTGCAGTAGCACATTGCAGAACGTACTGCACCTGCGCGGAAGCTGTCATGTACATGTATTGTGCATAGCACTTTGGCAAAATTGAGGTGCTCAAAAACTTGTATGTTCCAACAGCTATCGTAGACTGGAACTCGTTGCCACCAAGCACAGTTGGGGCATCATCACTAGAAAGCTTTAAACAACTGTTGCAATTCTTTCTTTCTTTATTCTTTATTTCAGGTAAAAACCCATATAACACATGTACAATACATCATTAAAATAATACGAAAACTCTACAGACATACAAGTAAAACAGGAAGAAACCTAAAAGCATAATAAATGGTAGGTCTTCCGAAAGAATGAATTCCTGTAGAAGGCATCAGAATGTGCAATTAAATGTGCAAAGATTGAGTGTAACAAGTTGTTCTGTGTAATATAGCCAGCTG